AGAGAGAGAGAGAGAGAGAGAGAGATTAAAAAAAGAGAAAAAAATTTAAATAAGCTTTAAAATTGACAAACCAGGGTCAGCTAGATAACTCAGTGGACTAAAGCGCCTGCTTAGGCAGAACGCAGTGGCTGGGGTTTGATCCCCAGTGTGCCGGTCCTGTGTCCGTGGCACACTGAGAGTGACTGAGACCGTGCATGGTGGTGCACCCCTGTAATCCCAGGGCTTGGGAGGCTGGAAACAGGAGATTCACTAAAAGGCCAATCTACATAGTGAGACATCGTAGACCCTATACTAAATACCTTAAAAAATAAAATTGACAAGCCAGTATCCAAACTTATAAAAAAGAAGATTTAAATCCATGCGATTAGGAATGAAATGAGTGAAATCATAACACAACCTGCAACAATCCAGAAAATCATTAATATCGACTTGAAAAGCCTGTATTCTAATAAGATAAAAAATGGAGACAAAATGGACCAGTTACTAGACACATATAAATTACCACAGCTGATTCAAGAAGACATAAATTTTTTTCTTTTTCTTTTCTTTTTTTCTTTTTTTTTTTTTTTTGTACTTTGTTCAGGGTCTCACAACTAGATCAGACTCATAGTGATCCACCTGTTTACAGCCTCCCAAAAGCTGGGATTACAGGCATGAGCCACCATGCCCAGTCTCAATTGCTGCCTCAGTGTGACCCAGGAGAGGGGTCGGCACAGCAGGCCCAGGGATCGATCCCCGAGCCCCTGCACCTGCTTGCAGGCACTGTAATCTGCTGAGCTATTTGGCCAGCCCTCCAAGTTTCTAAATACAATATCAATCAATGCAATTAAAGATGTAATTGAAAATCTACCAACAAAGAAAAGCCCAACTCCTGATGAATTCACTGCTGAGTTCTACAAGGAAGTTAGCAAAGCCCTAATATTTCTCAAACTCTTTAATGAAATTGAAAGGGAAGCAGTACTCCTAAATCTATTCCTGGAAGCAAACATTACCCTGATACCAAAATGAGGAAAGATACAACCAAAAAACAAAACCACAGCTCACTCTCCTTAATGAACGTAGATGCAAAAATCCTCAGTAAGATACTAGCAAAAATAACAGAGCAAATCAAGAAGATTACTCACCATGATCAAGTAGGATCCATCTCAGGGAGGCAAGGATGGTTCAACATATGTAATATAATATACCACATTAACATGCAAAGATAAAAACCACATAACATCTCAACAGATGCAGAAAAACATTTTACAAAGTCCAACACTCATCCGTGATAAAAACCCTCGAAAATTGAAATAGATGGCTCTTATATCAATATGATGAAAGTCATCTATAACAAACCAACAAGCAACATCATACTAAATGGACACAAAGTGAAAGCTTTCACTCTAAAAGAAGCAACAAGAAAAGGATGCCCACTGTTTTCACTCATCCAGTATAGTTCTTATAGAAACACGAGCCAGAGCACTTAGACAAGGGAAAGAAATAAAAGGAATAAGGATAGGAAAGGAAGAAGTTAAATTATCATTATTTTCAGATGACAAGACAAGACACCCAAAACTCTGCAAAAGATTACTAGATTTAACAACCAAATTCAGTAGCATAGTTTGATATAATTCAACACTCAAAAATCAATAGCTGGGGCTGGTGAGATGGCTCAGTGGTCTGAAGCACCTACTTGGAGCAAGCTTGGCAAAGCACAGGGACGGTGGTTCAATCCCCCAGCACCACATGCCAGCCAGCCCCGCCCCCTGGTGGGCTGAGCTGGCCACACACACACACCCACACACACACACACATAAATAAAATAATTTTAAAAAAAAATCAATAGCTTTCCTGTACACAAACAACACATGCACTGAGAGAGAAATTAGGAAAGTAATGCCTTTCAGAACACCATCCAAAAATGAATGCCTAGAAATCAATTTAACAAAGGAAGAAAAAAAAACCTTTATATTGAAAACTACAGTACCCTGTAAAAGGAGACTGAAGAGGATATCAGAAAATGGAAAGACATACTAGGCTCTTGGGTAAGAGGAACCAATGCAGTGAAAATGGCCATACTTCCAAAACCGTTACACAGATTTAATCCAGTCCTGATCAAATTTCCAACATATCTCACAGAATTAAGGGAAGCAATCCTAAAATTGATTTGGAACAAGAAGAGACCTAGAATAGCTAAAACAATTGCGGCAAATAAAGGAAAGGCCAGGGCATCACAATCCCTGACCTGAAACTATACTACAAAACTACTGCGATAAAAACAGCAAGGTACTGGCAAAACAACAAAAAAAAAAAACAAAAAAAAAACAAAAAAAAAAAAAAAAAAACCCTGAGGATCTATGAATAGATTAGAAGATACTGGACCTTTTTTTTTTTTTTTTTTTTGGTACCAGGGATTGAACTCAGGACCCTGCGCTTGCCAGGCAAGCACTTATTCTACTGTGCTATCTCCCCAGCCCCCAGCAGGACAACTCTAAGCACACTTAGTCACCTTATCTTTGACAAAGACTCCAAATATCCTTACTGGAAGAAAGATAGCCTCTTTAACAAGTAGTGCTAGAAAAACTACCTTTCCACATGCTGAAGACTAAAACTAGACGCATGTTTATCACTGTGCACTAAACTAAAATCAAAATGAACCAATGATCTAATTTTTTTTTTGGGGGGGGGAACTGGGGATTGAACTCAGGCCCTTGCGCTTGCTAGGGAAGCGCTTATTCCACTGAGCCATCTCCCCGGCCCCGAATGATCTAAATATTAAACAGAAACACTAACTCTGCTGGAAGACAGAATAAGTAGAACTCATTTTTTTTTTTTTTTCAGTACAGGGGATTGAACTCAGGGCCTTGCGCTTACCAGGCAAGCGCTTATTCTACTGAGCTATCTCCCTGGACCCAAGAACCCTGAAGACACTGATGTAGGCAGAGTTTATGAACTAAGCTCCAGATGCAGAAGAACTATCACAGCGACTCAACACCGAGGATCTCAAGTCATTAAGAAGCTCTTGCACGGTAAGAGAAACTACCAACAGAGTGAAGAAACAATGCGCAGAATGGGAAAAAGTTTTGCCAGTTGTTTTTCGTTCAAAGAACTGATACCTAGCATATATAAAGAACTCAAAAAAAAAAAAAAATCAGTCCCTTCAAGTTTAAAGAACCAATGTCAAAAATCGGCATCTGAAAGACACTTTCAAGATGAGATGCAATGAAAGTGACAAATATACACAAAAGAAGTTCGATACACGGTGCATTTGAGAGATGCAAATTGGCACAATGCTGAGATTTCACCTCCAGAAAAAAAATGGCTGTCATTGAGAAATCAGCCATTACCGAATGCTGATGGGGCTGTAAGGAAAAAGAACCCCTTTGCCGTTGTTGGTGGGAGTGTAGACTGGTACGACCACTGTGGAAACCAACGTGGAGATTACGCAAAAATTATTTCCCTTCCTCCTGAAAGATTAAAGGCATCACGCCACACCGTTATGGGCACACACGCTCCCAGCAACAGTTTGTAATAGCTAAACCTTGGAAACCGCACAAGCGCCTATCAGCTGATGAACGGATAAAGAAGATTGTGGGGATCCGTTGGCCTCTCAGTGACCCACTGCATCTGGGGAGAAAGAGAGTGAGGAAAACATGGACAAGACAAGAGCTGGGTTAGGTGGGGACTCTTCTGGTGGTTGGAGAGACCACCCCCCCCAGCACCAATATGGACGTGTACCATACCTTTGCAAAGTTAGTGCCACATGACACGAGGTTGCCCAGGGACTAACAGCTGACCTTAACCAGTCAGAATGCTGATCTCAAGGCTGAGGTAGCTTGCTTGCTTTCGGCACTGAGGCCTAGTCTCACTTTCACACATCTGACCAACTTTCCAGCTTCCATGGCTCCCAACGGAAGATGTGGTGTGCTTTGTTTTGTTTTAATACAATTGAGTCCCACTCTGCCATAAAGGATACGCTTGAGATATCTCTAGGTAAGGGATGTACCTTGAAATAAATCAGACATATGCTTAAATACCACATTGTTTTCCTGTTGTGAGAAATGAAAAGTGTAAAAAAAGAACCAAAAAGTATAATAAATATTGGGTAATGGGAAGAAAATGTTCCAATGAGAAGGGCAACAAGTGAGGGGGCGGGGGAAAAGAAAGGAAGGGGGGAAAATGGAAGAAAAAAACAGAGCTTTCGTAAATAACAAGAGGTTGAAGGGTGGAGAAGGGAATGAGAAAAAAAAGGGGGGGGGCACAGAGATGTAGCTCAGCAGCGCAGCGCCTGCGTAGCAAGCGCCAGGCCCAGAGTTCCACTCCGGGTACCAAAAACGAAAATAGAGGGGAAAAAATTAAAAAATAAAATAAAATAAATAGGAGCCAGGGAGATGCCTCAATGGAATAAGCACTTCCCTGGCAAATGCAAAGGCTTGAGTTCAATCCCTGGTTCCGCGGGAAAAACAAAACAAACAGATTATGGGGAACTAGAACCCCCTCATGGAAACATTTTTAAAACTCACACAGGAGGTCAGACCACACCCACCGGCCAACCGCGTGTGACCCCCAAAGCTCGCCGGCCCCGGGGGTCCCGCACTTCGCGCAGCAGGTGAGGCTCCGCCCACACCCAGGAGGCTCCCGGGGCGGCAGGATCCGCAGGGCCTCATTGGCGCGCTGTGAGCATGCGCACTTCCGGTGGCGCCCGGGCGGGAGCGCGCGCGCAGCCCGCGAGGCTTCCTTCCTACTCTCCGGAGCCTGCGCGAGGGGCGTCGATGGCGGAGGGAGCGGAGGCGGCTCCGGCGGATAGTGGTGCTGACGCAGACTCCGGAGCGAGCGTTCTGGAACGGGGAGTGGCGCCCATTAAGCCTCAGTGAGTCCCCGAGGGAGGACGAGGATAATCTTATGTGGTCTGTTCGGTATCCGTAGCGCTTCCCGAACGGTGCACCCCGGGAGGTGGGGCAGTGGTCTCGACCCTGTCTCGCGACCCTTCAGTATGTGCTCTTTTTTCCACCTGCAAGGTAGGTGCTCGACCACACCAGAGATCCGGAGATCGTGCACTTTGGAAGCTGTCATATGTCCAAAGAACGGCCACGTGCATGCTAAGGCGGGCGGGGTTTAGGAGGTCCGCGGTGCTTTCTGGGAATTGTAGTCCCTCCGAATGGCTGGGCAGCACCTGTGCACCTTTAGTTGCAGTTAGGGACGCGGTACTTGTGTCCGAAGCGAGTAGTGCATGGTGTTCTGGGGCTTACCGTGTCTTACAGGCTGAAAGGCTGCTGGAAAATATAGCGATCTGGTCCTCGCTGCGAGGCATTCTGGGACTTGTTTTTGTTGTTAATTTATCCAGATTAAGGCTGTTCAGGGCTGTGTAAAATTGGGGACAAAAACAGACCCTCGCAGGATGGGCGTAGTGGCGCACACCTGTAATCCAGGCACCGAGGGAGGTTAGGCAGCAGGATCTCATGATTGACTCCTGTCTGAACAACTCGGTGAGAACCTCTCAAAATAAAAAAGGGTGCTCATGTAGCTCCGTGATACAGCTGGGTTCGGTCACCAGTACGTACAAACATACATACATACAAAAAGTAACTTGAGTTTTCTCTTTGGCCTTGAGGTTCTTCCAGCCTGGCAAGTGACTGTTTCAAAGTAGTGAGCTCCCAGAAGCACTCCAGCAGGGGCACCCATTCTCATCCGCCAGTGCTTTGGGGCTGAGTACAGGGGGCCCCTGAAAGAGTCCTTTTCTCCCCCTCTCTGTCCCCAGATACCTCACCACCAGGGAACACTTCCACGGGTTCCTGGAAGCCAAAGGACAAGAGAAGCTCTGCCAGGAAACTGAGGCAGGAGACCCTGATGGCAGTGACGTGCCTGAGCCTGAGGCCAAGAGGATCCGACTGGAGGATGAGCAGACGCAGGACGCATCGGCATCTGTGGAGGCAGTGGCGGAGCCTGGGGAGCAGCCCCAGGGACAGAAGAGAGCGCGGGGCCAGAACAAGGGCCGGCCCCACATGAAGCCTGCTCAGTATGACCAGAATCGGCTCTGCCCTTCCCTGATCCAGGTGAGTTCAGCTCCACCAGGCCATTTTGGGGCTCCTGAGTCTCCGTTTGGTCCTCTCCTCAGTCATAGTGTGATTGAGTATGATTTGTGCTGGCTTAGTTTGTTTGACTTATTTTTATGACTTCTATTATTTATTCATTGCTTTATTTTGCAGTGCTGGGTCTGGAATCCAGAACCTCATGCATGCCAGGCAAACACTGAACACTGATCTGTATTTCCTGAGTCTTGCTAAGTCACCGAGGCTGGCCTAAAACTTGAGATTCTCCTACCTCAGCCTCCTCAGTGGCTGAGATGACTGTGTTCTGTTTGCTTTTTGACTTGCAGTGGTGGGAAAGTGACTTATACTCAGTAGAAACTGCAGTTGAGGAAGGTGTGGTGGCGCATGCCTGTAATCCCAGAACTTGAGAGGCTGAGGCAGGAAGATCACTGTGAGTTCAAGGCTGGCCTGGGCTACACAGAGAGTACAAGTCAAGTCCTGCTAAATGAAAGCTTGTCTCCAAAAAACCAAAAGGGAAAAAGGAAGCAGCAGCTGTACTTTAAGTTTTGATCATTTCTGGACTGTAATGTCACATGATCCTCTCTTGGGACTAAGATCATGAGAGTGGATAATTGACACTGGTGCATTAGCTATGTTGGGAGGTATTGTTTTGTTGAGACAGGATCTCACTCTAGCCCAGGCTGGCCTCGAACTCGTAGCAGTCCTCTTGACTCAGTCTCCTGAGTGCTGGGATTACAGGCGTGCGCCACTATACTTGGCTTCTTAAATTTGTTTCTGACTGATGGTATTTTCAGCTTATAGTGGGCTTCTCCAGGTATGACCCTGCTGTAAATTGGGGAGCACCTGCATTGATTCTCTTCCCATGCACAGAAAAAAACTGAGGCATAGTGGGGGTTGGGTGTGATACTCACCGGTGGGCTTCCCACTACCCACGTGCCCCCTCACCCCCCCTCACAGCCTCTTTGTCTCTTGCAGGAATCGCCTGCCAAGTGTTTCTTTGGGGACCGCTGCCGATTCCTGCATGACGTGGGCCGTTACCTGGAGAGCAAACCTCCTGATTTGGGCACCCGCTGTGTGCTCTTCGAAACCTTTGGCAGGTGCCCCTATGGTGTGACCTGCCGCTTTGCTGGTGCCCACCTGGGGCCCGAGGGCCAGAACCTAGTGCTCGAGGACCTGTTGGCCCGCAGGGCCCACCTGCCGCCCTTGCGCAATGCCCTGGACAAGGCCCTGCAGCGGCAGCTGCGCAAACGCCAGGTCCGCTTTGAGCGTGCAGAGCAGGCCCTGCGTGGGCTCGGCCAGGGCACTGCTCCAGCCACAGTTGTCACCAAGCTTACTCCTGAGGGTGATCCAGGGCAGAACCACTGTGCTGCCCAGCAGGACCCTGCAGGGCTGGGGGTTGGCACCCCTCCCGGAAGCCCTGCGCAGACCTGCGGGCCCTTGACGGACGAGGACGTGGTCAGGCTGCGGCCCTGTGAGAAGAAGCGGGTAGGTGTCTCGGGCTCCCTGTTAAGGACCACGCCAGTGCTCACTCCTTACGGTCCATCCATGTTCCTATTCAGACACCGTGAAATCACAGCCTGTGCCCTGGCATCACTCCCAGCTGGGACATCCTCCTTCCTCTTGGGGGCTGAGCCCAGAGAAAGCTAGACTCTCAGCCCTTGAGGGTTAAGGAGGGACAGATGCAGTGTTGGGGTGCTTCCCCAAAGAGTGGGCACAGCAACTTAGACTTTGACTGTTGAATAAAAGCTCTTCAATAACAAATACAGGGTCAAGATTATTTAACACACGTAGAAAGGTATAGAAGTGAAAAGGAGCCAAGCTGGGCAGGGCAGAGAAAATCATGTCCTAGACTGGAGATGGGGCCCCAGGTCTCACTGCGAATCTTCTCCCCCCAGCTGGACATCAGCGGCAAACTGTACCTGGCCCCACTCACAACGGTAGGACCTGCTTGAGGTCTCCACGGCCTGTGGGCAGCAGGGAACACTGATGCATCCAGCTGTGGGTTTTAGGCAGGGGTGGGTGTCAGGGGCCCCTTCCTGACCCCCCCTCCCAGTAGAACAAACGCATGTGTCCTGCGACCCCAGTGTGGGAACCTACCCTTCCGGCGGATCTGTAAGCGCTTCGGAGCAGACGTGACGTGTGGGGAGATGGCCATGTGCACCAACCTGCTGCAGGGCCAGACGTCTGAGTGGGCCCTGCTCAAACGTCACCCATGCGAGGACATCTTCGGGGTCCAGGTCTGTTCTTGGCCCTGGGGGGCAGGGAGTAGGGGCCCCCAGTGGCTGTGTTGGGAGCCTCCTTAGGGACCTGCCTGGGTCATGTGCCCTGCCCCTCTTGACTAAGGGTAGTGTCCGCATCAGATGGTCTCAAAGAGATCAGTGCCTTCTGGGGAGGCTGGGGGTGGGGGCTGGCTTGAGACTCTGGTGGCTCTGAGTAACCAAGAGGGACAGCTTGGCCTGGCTCCGGCCTGCTGTCCCTGCAGCTAGAAGGCGGCTTCCCAGACACCATGACGAAGTGTGCAGAGCTGCTGAACCGCACCATCGAGGTGGACTTTGTGGACATCAACGTTGGCTGCCCCATCGACCTCGTGTACAAGAAGGTAACAGCTGCTGGCTGCCCTGGGCTCGGGCCTCAGTTTCCCTGTCTGGGCAGTGGGGACCAAGCCAGCTGATAGCATGACAGGGTAGGGGTCTGGATGCCTGTGTGTGACTGGGGAGGGCAGGCTTTGCTTCTGGTGGCCTCTGTGGGCACACAGGGCTGGGGTGAACACAGCGTGCCGGGTCCACCCATGCCCCACCTGCACTTCTCACCTAGGGTGGTGGCTGTGCCCTCATGAACCGCCCTGCCAAGTTCCAGCAGATCGTTCGTGGCATGAGCCAGGTACATGTGGGACGTCCCCACCTGCCCCCACCCCATCTCAGCCCCAACCACTTGCCTAACCACATGGTCCCTGTTGCAGGTGCTGGATGTGCCACTGACTGTGAAGATCCGCACAGGAGTCCAGGAGCACGTGAACCTGGCACACCGCCTGCTGCCCGAGCTTCGGGCCTGGGGTGCTGCCCTCGTCACGGTGGGTCTCGGGACGCTGAGGGCATCTGGGCCGTGGGAGCCCCAGTATCTCTTCTAATGGCCTCTCTCTCCGTTTGCTGTTCCTCACTTTCGCTGTGCCCCTCTCTCCACCCCCGCCCCTGTGCCCTCTCAGCCCATCCTCCTCTCCCCATCTTCTCTGCCTTCTTCCTCCCGTGGCGTCCCCCCAGCTCCACGGCCGCTCCCGGGAGCAGCGCTACACCAAACTGGCCGACTGGCAATACATCCAGCAGTGCGTGGAGGTGGCCAGCCCCATGCCACTCTTCGGTGAGTGCTGTCCCCTGCTGCCTAGGGGCACCCATGCCACTGACTCCCCTGCTGTGCCAAGGACTGCCAGGGGCCTAGGATTCCTGAACAGCTGGTGGGCTTCTTGGCACCCTGCAACTCCTGAGACCCAAGCCTCTCCCCTCAGGGAATGGGGACATCTTATCATATGAGGATGCCAACCGAGCCAAGCAGACTGGAGTCGCTGGGATCATGATTGCCCGGTAGGTTCCCTGCAAGGTCATTGAACAGCCAGGGCTACCTGGAGCCCAGGCTGTAGCAGGCAGACAGGCAGGTGTGGGCTGGGACAAGACAAGGGCACTTGGTATGACTGTGTGTGCTCAGAGACATGCACACCCTGGGCCTCTAGGTGCGATGTGGGGTCGTGGCTGAGCTTTGTCCCTGTCCCTGCAGAGGCGCCCTGCTGAAGCCCTGGCTGTTCACGGAGATAAAGGAGCAGAGGCATTGGGACATCTCGTCCTCCGAGCGGCTGGACATCCTGCGGGACTTCACACACTATGGCCTAGAGCACTGGGGCTCAGACACGCAGGGTGTGGAGAAGACAAGGCGCTTCCTGCTGGAGTGGCTGTCTTTCCTCTGCAGGTGGGCTCCGCCCTGGCCCCGCCCCCACCAGTCTGGCCCCGCCCCACCAGCCTGGCCCTGCCCCCCACTGTGATGCCTAGGCTGTGCCCTGACCAGCTGTGCTCCCTCCCTCCTTGCCTGCCCCAACTAGCCTTGGCTTCTCCCTTCCTACATTTCATCCTTCCTTACCTGACCTACGGCCCTTCCTACCCAGTCCGCCCTCAGCTCTGCCCCTGGCCCTACCCCTGCAGGTATGTGCCTGTGGGCCTGCTGGAGCTGCTCCCGCAGCGCATCAATGAGCGCCCCCCCTACTACCTGGGCCGTGACTACCTAGAGACGCTCATGGCCAGCCAGCAGGCGGCTGACTGGATCCGCATCAGGTTCGTTTGGGGCACCCAGTCAGGGCGGGCATGGAGCCAGCCTCCCGGACCCCAGCCTGACCTGATGCCCACCTCCTCTCCCTCCCTCCCTCTCTCCTCACAGTGAGATGCTGCTGGGCCCGGTGCCACCCAACTTCGCCTTCCTGCCCAAGCACAAGGCCAATGCCTATAAGTAGCTGCTGCCCCGGGCCTGGAGGCTCACTATGTAGTCCAGGCTGGCCTTGAACTATGTAGCCCAGGCTGGCCTCAAACTCACGGTAGCGCTCCTGCCTCAGCCTCCTCAGTGCTGGCATCACGGCCGTGTGCTCCCATGCCTGGCTTAATAAATTGTATTCTTTTAAAATCCTTGCGTGTTTCTTGTTGCTAAGGCAGCCCCTGCCTCCCCTGCCCGCAGCTCGGCCTTGGCTGGCCCCTGGCTCAGCAGTTCCCTGCCTGCTTACTCAGTAACCCCGCATGCCAGACAAGTGCTGTGCCCCAGGTGACGGCAGGGCAGTGGGGGTGTGCATCAGGGCCACCACCTGGAGGGGGCAGGCTGGGGCCATTACCAGGACATAGATAGAAGAGGTGGAAGGTGGGGGCCCCTGCCCAGGGTTGGGCTGCTCTAGGGGACACCTGACTGTGACCCCCAGGGGTCCCTCTTGGCTCCCTGCTCACCCCCACCCCCCCGGAATCTCAAGGAGTGGACAGGGCTCACCCTCTGCCTGCTGCCCCAGTAACCAGCAGACAGAACACTGCGGGCCATGGCCTCTTTCCCGGTGGGTGGTCTGTGCCCCAGGTCTGCCCAGGCCAGACCCCCACCCACCATGGAGCACCCTAAACCCTTCTCCATGCCTGCAGCTTCCCAGGATGGCTTCAGCCCCCAGGGCCTCGGGAACAACGTGGGCGCAGGTGGCTGCCCTGTGCTCACAGGCACCGACACTCTGCCCACCATGGGTATGACCTGAGGGGTGGCGTTTGGGGGCAGCTGACAGTCAGGCCCGGCTTCCGTCCAGCAGCTCAGGGCCCTGCCACTCGGCGCCTCTGTCCACAGCCTCTGCGAACCTGCTGTACCAACCCCCAACCTTGGAGAAAGATGTGTTTCCTGTTCCCCCAGCAGGTATTGGAGCCTCCCTAACCTGGAGCGAAGATGTGGGAGCTGGGTGGCGTGAGCAGGCTCCAGATTGTCCCTGTCCCATCCCCGGATGGGACCCAAAGAAGGGCTGTGCCCCCTGTGCCCTGAATGGGATCCTCTAAGGAAACACCGCGTCCCCCACCCCCAGATGAGCCCCTGAAACAGCCTTCATCCCCCAGATGAGACCCCCAAAAGCCTGGTGCCATTGTCACCCAAAGGAACTGCCGAGATAAAGCCTGGGCCCCCGTTTTCCAGGCAGGACCCCAGAAAAAGATCTGTGTGCCTCGGCTTCCAAAGGAGTCCCCTCCTAGCTCTGGTTGCTTCCCAGGGGAACCCTGAAAGACCCACATCGTGCCGCTTGCCCCAAGTGCCGTCTCCCCCTGGAGGCTGCTCTTAGGGTCCCTGTCCCCACTCCCGCAGGCTTCCAGATGGCCCCCTGTGGGTGTTTCTTCGACCCCCGCATCTACCGAATCGAGTGGGCCACCACCGACTTCGGCCAGGCCCTGTACAAGCTGGCGGTGGCCAAGGGCCCCGCCTCGCCAGGCAACTACCTCCTGGAGCCCCAGTGCTATGCCAAGGCCCCAGTGCCACCCCCGTACCCCCACTACCAACCAGCAGGACCCCCATACCTCATGCCCTACTTCCCGCCAGAGAGGCCCAGCCACGAGGCCCTGGGCTTCGTGGGGGGCAGGGGACCCCCTGGCTTTGTGGAGCTGCCCTCACTACTGCTCAAGGGAGGCCGGGCCCCCCTGCCACCTGCCAAAGACACCACAGTGCCCCCGCTGCTCGTCTCACTGCCTGCTGAGGCCCCACTGGCCCCTGGCACCTTCAGTCAGCCCCAAGGTCACCAAGGCCAGGTCCCAGGGCCCGAAGGCCTCGGGGAGCCTGCTGAGCCCTTGGTCTTCTCCACCAAGGCACTGCAGGGCTGCAGTGAGGCTGGGCTGCACCTGTCCCAACCACCGCCGCCTGCTCCCTGTGAGCCCAAAGCCTTGGAAGCCACCTTATCAGGCACAGGTGAGGCCCCAGTGCATGAGGTGGCCCGGACCTCCACACTGCCTGACAAGGTGCTCCTGGAGGACGCCATGAGGCTCTTTGATTGTTTGCCAGGCCGTACTGAGCCGAGAGCTGGAGTCACCCCAGTGTGCAAGGTGCCTGGGCCGCGCCTCCTGTGCCTCCCCAGCAGTGGGCAATGCCCCCCCAGTGGGCCACACACCCCCAACAGTGGGCCGCACCCCCCCAATACTGGGCAGTGCCCCCCCAAGAGCAAGCAGTGCCCCCCCAAGAGTGGACCACGCCTCCCCAGCAGCAGGCATCGCCCCCCCAAGAGCCACGGTGGCCAGGACACCTCAGTCAGTGACATCCACTCACTGCACCTCCCTGAAGAGCTGCTGTCATTTGACTACAGTGTCCCTGAGATCCTGGACACAGTATCCAATGTGGACTATTTGTTCAACTTTAAGGCACTAGATGAGGAGCCACAGGCCTGCCCTGCCACCTCTGGAGCCGACCCTGTGGCCCCTGTCCCTCAGGCTGACACCCGTAGGAAGAAGCGGGCCCCTTCCTCCGCCAGGAAGGGGAAGGCGGGGGGCAAGGGCAAGCAGGCTGCCACTGGGGCCAGGCAGGACCTGGACTCTGCCCCCCATTAAAGTGGATTTGGTTTCTCAGCTTCGCATCCAGTGCTCTTGTGCACCCAGGCCGTCACCTGGGTGTGGACACCTATCCCCCTGCTGCATGCCGTGGGTGAGCTGTCCTACAGGGCAGGTGAGGCGCGAGGCAAGACCCAGGTCTGAGGAGTCAAGCAGGGGACCCTGGAGCTGCAGGAGATGGTGAACAAGTGCCCTGGGACTAGAAAAGGGACAGCCAACTGGCAAAGGTGGGGACAGCCTCAGAAATGGTAGCATCCACTACCTAGACTCCTGCATTGAGGAATTTTTTTTTTTTTTCTTCTTCTTCAGACTAGAGGCAGACAATTTTGTCTCAGTCTCTGGAGTGCTGCGGTTGCCCATTTGCACCACCATGTGAGAAGCTTGCCTGGCTAGACTAAGTGATTGGCGCTGGGGAGATAGCTCAGCACGGGGCCTGCCTGGCAAGTGCAAGGTCCTGATTTCAATTCCCAGTACAAAAAAATAAAAAAAGATAAAGGGATAGCTGAAAGCGTAGTTGAGTGCAGGCACAAAGAGGGGCAGCATGTAGGTGCCATACACTCAGGAGGACCTAAATTGCATCCCCAGTACCAAAACACAAAAAGCCAGGTGTGGCAGCACAAGCTTCTAATCCCAGCAGGAGGCTGAGGCAGGAGGATCGCCACGAGTTTGACTTTGGCCTGCGCTACATAACGAGTTACTGCTGTCTGTACCCCACAGCTGCCTAGGTATAACCCAGGGTACCAGAATGTCACAGAATACAGGAGGGAAAGCATGGCTGGTCTGTGCAGCTTCCTGCTTTGTTGCAGAATATTTTACTTTCAGACAGCCTGGGGGCAGGATCAGGGTGACTTCCCAGGGCTCCAGAGACGGAGACGGAGACGGAGACGGAGCTGGCGGCAGAGCCTGCAGCACCTCCAGCTCAGCAGCCTGCAGGCCTCCCTGAGCTTGTGGCAGGTGTCCGTGTGGGGAAGTCTGGGGAGGATGTGGGCCAGCCACACGGCCAGCAGTGTGCCACACACAAGCAGGATGATGGTGACTCCAGGCACAAAAAGGGGCAGTGGGTAGGCGCCGTACACGTAGATACTGAAGGTGGTCTCCAGGCGGCAGTAGCTGGACACGGATGGGGAGGCCTAGTCCTCCCCACTGCACACAAACCCAGCGGCAGGAGGGCCCACAGCAGCAACCCAGCTCACCACGTGGTCCATTCTGTCCACAGTGACCCCGAGGGATTGGGAGCCAGCCCCCCACTCTGTTCTCCATGGATTTGAGTGTTGTTTGTTGTTTTTAATTTTCTGAGACTACGTAGCCCAGGCTGGCCTTGAAGTCACAGGGATCTTCCTGCCTCAGCCTGCTGAGGGCTGAGATGACAGGCGTGCGCCACCTTGCACTCCCAGCCCCTAAATCTAGTTGTGAATCTCGGGTGGGTGGGTGGATTTCCTGAGGGAGAACCCTCGGGTGGGAGTGGGCGTCCCCAGCTGTCACTCCCAGGGCCCTGCTCACCTGTAGTATGGATCCAGGATGGAAAGGTGGAAGATGTAGATCCCGTTCCTTTGTTTAAAAATGATCTTATTGTTCGTCCGGCCCCCCAGCACCTGATACTGGACGTTCGGCCACCTCAAGGGGCTGCTGGGGCTGGGGCTGTGGCAGCTCACATAGTTCTGGGAGATGACAGAGGGAAGTGGAGCCCCAGGCCCCGACCGGGACCTCACTGGTGGCACCCAGAGGGGCTGAGGGCCCTGTGCACCAGCGTGCAGCTCGAGCCCCTAGCGTACCTCAGGCCGCCTCCCCCAGCTGCCCCCTTCTTTTTTTTCCCCCCTCTGTGTGTTGCGTTTTGTTCTTTGAGTCAGGGTCACACTCTGTAGTTCAGGATGGCCTCAAACTTTCTAAATCAGACTGGCCTCAAACTTGAAGTGCTCCTCCTGCCTCAGCCTCCCAGGTGGGATTACAGGTGGGTGCCACCACATCCGGCCAGAGGCTGAGTCTTAGTCACTGCTTGTCACATTCGTTCAGCCCAAGGCCCTAGCAGTGTCTTACGCATTGAACTGAGTGTGCCCCTGCCCAGCCTCCCCCTCCAAAAAATCATGTTGAAGTTCTAATCCCCCAGAGACTCGGAATATGACCCTCTTCAGAAGTAAGGTCCTTACAGAAGTACTTCGGTTAGAATGAGATGATCGGGGTGCAGATGATCAGGGTGCCTGCTGATCCAGTACAACTACTGTCCCCACAAGAAGGGGTGCAACTGGAGCAGGGCACGACATCCCACACCTGTCGTTCCAACACCCAGGGAGGCTGAGGCAGGAAGACCGCCAGTTTCCACCCAGTTTGGGGGAGTCAGCAACTGTGATGGAGCCTCAAGATAAAAGTTTTTTTAAAGAGGACTAGGTGTGTAGTTCACATCTAGCGAAGGCTCGCGTGTTCCCCAATGAAAAAGAGGAAGGAGGGTGAGGAGAGAAGGGAGGAAGGGAGGGAGGGA